ATTTCATCATGCCATGTCATATCACGTTATTTCACTTCGACACAGAGACTCGCTCTATTTCCCAGGGTGGAGTGTGCCACTGCATCTGGCATTTCATTATTCATTATTTTATTTCATTTCACCCAGCATTTCATTACTCATTTCATCATTTCATTTAGTTTCATTTCGAGATGAAGACTCGCTCTTCATCCCTGGAATGCGCCACCACACCTGGAATTTCATTATTCATTTCATTTCATTTCACCTGGCATTTCGTATTTCATTTCATCATTTCATTTCTCACTTCATTTCATCTCATTTCAAGACAGAGACTTGCTCTATCGCCCAGTCTGGAGTGCACCACCGCACCCAGCATTTCATTATTCATTTTATTATTTCATTTTTTCATTTCATCTATTTCATTTTTCAATTTCATGATGTAGACTTGCTCTATCACCCAGGCTGGAGTGCACCCAGCATTTCATTATTCATTTCGTATTTCATTTCTCATTTCATGACAGAGACTTGCTCTATCACCCAGGCTGGAGTGTGCCACCCACATTTCATTATTAATTTCATTATTTCATTTCATCATGTCATTTCGAGATGGAGACTCGTTCTATCGCCCAGGCTGGAGTGAAGTGGCGTGATCTCTGCTCACCGCACCCTCTACCTCCTGGGTACAAGCAATTCTCCTCTCAGCCTCCCAAGTAGCTGGGATTACAGGCACCCGCCATCATGCCAGGCTAATTTTTGTATTTTAGTAGAGACAGGGTTTCACCATGTTGGCCAGGCTGATCTTGAACTCCTGACATCAGGTGATCCGCCCGCCTTGGCCTCCCAAAGTGCTAGGATTATAAGCATGAGCCACCGCACCCAGCATTTCATATTTCATTTCATATTTACTTCATCACGTCATTTCTTTCGTTTCATTTGAAAATGTAGTCTATCACCCAGGCTGGAGTGCAGCACCACACCCAGCATTTCATTACTCATTTCATATTTCTTCATTTCATTTCACCCGGCATTTCATTATTCATTATTTCATTTCATCCCATTTCATTTCATTTCGAGACAGAGACTCACTCTTATCGCCCAGGCTGGAGTGCACCACTGCACCCAGCATTTCATTATTTCCTTTCATCTATTTCAGTTTTTCATTTCATTTCATTATTCGTTTCACCATTTCGTTTTTCATTTCGAGACGGAGACTTGCTCTATTGCCCAGGCTAGAGTGTGCCACTGTACCCAGCATTTCATTATTCATTTCATTATTTCATTTCATCATTTCATTTGATCATTTTTCATTTCATTTCCAGATGAAGACTCACCCTATCAGCCAAGCTGGAGTGCACCACCACACCCGGCATTTCATTATTCATTTCATTTCATTATTTCATCTCATCATGTCATGTCATATCATTTCATTTCGAGACAGAGACTCACTGTATTACCCAGGATGGAGTGCACCAGCACACTAGGCATTTCATTATTCATTTCATTTCACCTGGCATTTCGTATTTCATTTCAAGACGGAGACTTGCTCTATTGCCCAGGCTGGAGTGTGCCACCACACCCAGCACTTCATTTTGTTACTTCATTTTTTCATTTCAGTATTCATTTCATTTATTTCATTTCTTCATTTCATTTCAAGATGGAGATTCGCTCTGTCACCCAGGCTGGAGTGCGCCACCAAACCTGGCATATAATTATTCGTTTCTTCATTTCATTTCATTTCATCACTTCATTTCATGACAGAGACTTGCTGTATCGGCCAGGCTGGAGTGCACCACCCGCATTCAATTATTCATTTCATGATGTCATGTCATTTCATTTTGAGACGGAGACTCGTTCTATCACCCAGGCTGGAGTGCAGTGGCGCGACGTCTGCTCACTGCAACCTCTGCCTCCTGGGTTCAAGCAATTCTCTTCTCGCGGCCTCCCAACTAGCTGGGATTACAGGCACCCACTATCGTGCCCAGCTAATTTTTGTGTTTTAGCAGAGACAGGGTTTCACCATGTTTGCCAGGATGGTCTTGAACTCCTGACCTCAGATGATCCACCTACCTTGGCCTCCCAAGTGTTGGGATTACAGGTGTGAGCCACTGTGCCCGGCCCCAAAAGGCTAATTTAAAGGTAGACCTCTGATATTCATGTGATTTTAATTCAGGTCTAATGCTTCTTTAATGAATTACATAAATTTTCTCCAAAAATGTGAAATGTTATTAGATTCCCTGTGACATATGAGAATCTATTCAATAATAACCAGTACTCTATTGGAAAAGAAACAGCTGTAGTTTTGCCATCATCAATAAGCTTAGGAATTTTAGAGCAGCCTTGTCACATATTCTCAGAAATAAGTCCTCAGAAACCAAAGGATACGGGTGATGCCTTCCTCTCCAAAACACCCTGAACTGTTAATCCTATGTCTTCCTTCCATAAGAAAGTCAGCTTAAAAACAAAGTCATTTAAGGTAAAAGGATATACAAATTAGGCAACTCTCATTAAGGTTATTGTTAAGAGGTTCTATTTATCAATGTCTAAATTGAATACCAGCCCTTGAGAATTACACTTCACATACCAAAAAGAACCTCTGGATGCTTTCCACATTTCTGTTACCGGCATCAACAATTTTCCAGGAAGTAAAAATTCATGTAAAATATATAATTGGCAAAGTGCTAACTGCCATAATATATAAAGTGTTCCAACAAATCAATCAAACCAACAATATGATAAAAAATAGAGAAAGGGTATGCCACCAACCACTAAACAAAAAAAAAGGTGCTCATTCTCATAAGCAACCAGGAAAAAGCAAAGTAAAACATTAAAACAGTTCACTACCTACCTTAAAAAAAAGTGATGGTAGGCCAGGCGCGATGGCTCACGCCTGTAATCCCAGCACTTTGGGAGGCTGAGGCTGGCAGATCACCTGAGGTCGGGAGTTCGAGATCAGCCTGACCAACATGGAGAAATCCTGTCTCTACTAAAAACACAAAAAATTAGCTGGGCATGGTGGTGCATGCCTGTAATTCCAGCTACTCGGGAGGCAGAGGTCGTGGTGAGCCTAGATCGTGCCATTGCATTCCAGCCCGGCAACAAGAGTGAAACTCTGTCTCAAAAAAAAAAAAAAAAGTGATGGTAGATGACAACACTGGCAAAGATTAGCAAGTACTGGAAGGGTCATTTGGTAGTAGTCATTCACGTTTTAAGCATGCAGATAATCTGCTCAAGTAACTTATTTTTAGCAATTTATCCTACAATTAAAATGTATGTGCAAAACTGTATGTACTACAGTGTTTAAGAGAAGGCCTCAAAGAAAAGGTGGTATTTTGTACAATTTGTACAAAAAAAGCATATTTTGTACAGTTCTTAAAGGAGTTAACACAGCTTTCCTCTTGGAAGTCAACAGACTATATGTAAGATTGAAAAGTCAAGAAAAATCAAGACAATAATATTATTTAGAAACATGAAAATAAAAAATAATGAATTAAAGCAGCCTGGGCATGGTGGCTCACACCTGCAATCCCAGCACCTCGGGAGGCTGAGGCAGGATGATTGCTTGAGCCCAGGAGTTCAAGACCAGCCGGGGCAACACAGTGAGACTCCATCTCTGGAAAAAAAAAATTAGCTAGGTGTGGAGGTGTGTGCCTGTAGTCCCAGCTACTCAGGAGGCTGAGATGGGAGGATCACCTGAGCCCAGGAGGTCAAGGCTACAGTGACCCTTGATTGTGCCACTGCACTCCAGCCTGGATGATAAGAGTGACTCTGTTTTAAAAAAATACTAAAATAAGCTGAGCATGGTGGCTCACACCTGTAATCCTAGCACTTGGGAGGGAGGAGGGTGGGTCACCTGAGGTCAGGAGTTTGAGACCAGCCTGACCAATATGGTAAACCCTGTCTCTACTAAAAATACAAAAATCAGCCAGATGTGGTGGCGTACGCCTGTAGTCCCAGCTACTCAGGAGGCTGAGATGGGAGAATTGCTTGATTCTGGGAGGTGGAGGTTGTAGTAAGCTGAGATCACGCTGCTGCACTCCAGCCTGGGTGACAGTGAGACTCCATATCAAAAGAAAAAAAAAAATTAAAAGTTGCCTTTGGGAAAAGGGAATTAAGGTGAGACGTATAGAACACTGTCGCACATTATTAAAATCTTTCAGATGTTAAAAAGATAAAAATCTTGACTTAAAAGATCATGTATGTCGATTATTTTGGTAAAAATAAAAATTAAGTAGTCAAAGATGTATCAACATAATAAAAAAGCTAAATTAGGCATTACTTGAACGTATGCTTCTAAACTAGTAAAAATTTATCACTGAAGAGAATTATCTGACCCTTGACAGCAACATGTTGATCTCCCAGTAGAGTAAGATGATCATACGAATAAGATGCTCTAAACTGACTTACAGGGAAGTCATTCCTGGGCTTTGACCTTGGGTGTCTTGTGATAGTTTAATATGCTGATGTCACACAGGTCAAACTATTGTTTAAAACAAAACCAATTCTGCTTAGTCTGTCCAAGATTAAAAAAACTAAACTAAAATGAATGAAAAATACAGAAAAGAATCTTATCTTCTTAATGTCAAAAAACCACCACAAACCATATGATCCAAGAATCCCACTTCTCGTACATATCCAAAAAAAGAAAAGGATCTTGAAGAGGTCACATCCACATTCGTAGCAGCATTATTCACAAGAGCCAAAAGGTAGAAGCAACCCAAATATCCCTTGATAAAAGAATGCACATGAAAAACGTGGCATACATACACAGAATGAATATTATTTAGCTTTAAAAAGGAAGGGAATTCTGGCACATGCAACAACATGGACGAACCTTGAGGATATTATGCTACATAAAATAAGCCAATCACAAAAGGACAAATATTGTATGATTCTACTTATATGAGGTGCCTAAAACAGCCAATTCAGAGATAGAAAGTGTAACATTATCAGGAGCTAAGGAGAGTGGTAAATTGGAAGGAGGCTTAATAGATATAGAGTATCAGTTTTGCAAGATGAAAAAGTTCCCGAGATTGGCTATATAATCATGCGACTATAATACTAACGTACTGTACGCTTAAAAAATGGTTAAGAAGGTAAATCTTAGGTTTATTTTACACAATTAAAAACCAAACCAAACCAAAATAACCATAAAGTTAGAACACTAGATTTTACTGCAAGAGTGTAGTTTCCTTGAAAACCATGAATTTTAAAAAGCGCACTTCAAGCGTATTAAGAGATGGCTCTCCATTCAACAGTACTCACCTGTACATTTATACAACATGCCTGTCATAGTTCCAGCCGCTACTGTGTTAAGGTCATCTTCTGCACCTCGTGTTTTCTCAATGATGACACCAAATGCACTATAGAGCAAAGCTAAAGAGGAAATGGAAGTGCTCAGCAACAAAATAGTGATAAAGTGCAATATTATGATATACATATATTGGTTTTTCATCCATGGTTCCTAGCTCATAACTCCCATAGCCCTTCCTAAGTGACTAAAACAATCACTTATTAAAGTATTTGTCCTTGGTTCTGGAAGCAGCTTTGGAACAGCTTCAGAGGGACAAAGGTGAAGATCTTTTTTGTATTACTGGGGCACTTCAGGCCTCAGAAGCAGCCCCAGAAAACAGAGTATCTCTCTGACCTTCTTCTGTCCTCCTTTCACCTGCTCCCTTTTCTCCTCACAGCAGGACTCTAATCTTTCCCCACCTTTCTGTCTTGGAACTGGTCATAAAGAAATTCTATGATCTACCTTGTCTGATTGCAGGCCATAGGATCCCCATTTCAGAAGAGATCATACCCCATACCCAGGAAGAAGAAATGCTGCACAGAAAGGCCAAGGAGAATCTGGGCAGACAGGCCTTGCTGGGTTTCTGCGTCCAGTCTGTTAGTAGCAGAGTATGCCCTTTTTGTCCAGTCACAGTTCTACAAGGTTGTCCATGCTTCAGTCATGCCTATTCAATCAATTTTCCACATGAGGCCCAAGTGGATGGGGTCGGAGGACTTTCTAGACAGCTGAACTTGTGGGCTTTGCAGGAAAGTGAAAAAGAACTCACCCACATGTCAGGAGGCTAGTGCACCCCAACTTCAGTGAAATGAAAGCTCCTGCACTCAGGGCCCATCCAGGCCTCACCTTATGCATTCCTTGACTGGGCTGTTTATCTGTATCCTTTAAAAATATCCAGCCAGGTGTGGTGGCTCACAAAGTTTCTGTAATCCCAGCACTTTGGGAGGCCAAGGTGGGAAGATCACATGGGCCCAGGAGTCTGAGACCAGCCTGGGCAACAACATAGGGATACCCCCTTCTCTAAAAAATTTTTTTAAAAAATTACCTAGCATGGTGGTGCATGTTGCCTAGTCCCAGCTCCTTGAAAGGCTGAGGTAGGAGACTTGCTTAAGCCCAGAAAGTCTAGGTTGCAGTGAGCTCCACTGCACTCTAGCATGGGTGACAAAGCAAGACCCTCTCTCAAAAAAAAAAAAAAAAAAAAAAAAAAAAACTTTATAATAACTAGGCAAATGTTAAGTATGTGTTCCTTTGAGTTCTGTGAGCCAATCTGATAAATTAATCGAACCCAAAGAGGGGGTTGTGGGAACCCTGACAAAGCTGGTTGGTCAGAAGCACAGGTAAAATAACCTGGGGCTTGCAATCAGCATCAGAAGTATCCAAAGTGGGGCTCATTTTTGTGGGACAGAGTGCTCAACCTGCTGATCTAATGCTATCTCCAGGCAGAACTGAAAAGGGAGGACACCCAGCCGGTGTCCACTGCAAAAGACATTACTTGGTATGTGGGGAAATATTCTCACATAACTGGTCACAGAAATATCCTATGTTGACTGTTATAGTGTGAGAGCAGAGGAAAAACTGTTTTTTTCAACACAAAAGTCAGTACGGCAATTATACTTAGATAAATTTATCCAAAGATATACATGGAATGATCACTAGTACAGTTTCTAATAGCAAACACCTGGCAACAAATAAAATGCCCATCAAGAGCATTTGTACCATCTGAACTGATTCAGAGAGTGACTTTTCATATAATGGTATACAGTAACTTAAAAACCAGAAGAATCATTTTCACTAACAAGTAAAGTAAGGACATGTGCACATGGTACATGACTAACTGGCTATGCAGAGAAACGCTGGAAGAACTCAGAAGAAACATCAATAGTAGCTATTTCTAGAAAGTACCACTAGGAAGTCTCAGGAAGTATATTTAAAATTTTCATTTATATGCTACCCATAATTTCTGTACTTTGGATTAAAGACACACACACATATTTCTAGTATAAGAAAAAATAGATTTAAAAAAAATGTGAGGTTTGATTCTCACATATTATAACACTAGCACCATTTCATTTTAAAGTATCTTCCCCCAAGCCATCCTTCTACGCTCTTACAGATTCCTATCTGGAATGAGTATGTTAAACTTTTAAGCTCTTTCTCAAAATTATAGCTACATTTGACCCTTGCAACAATACACGGGGCTCAGCCTTACAACTCCTCTACTGCAGTATTTTTATACGTCTATGAAAGCTCATCTTCCTCTTCGGCTTACTTAACTGAAACCGATCATGAGCAGAACATTGTTATTGATCATACCACAATGGGTATGCAGACGGTGACCAGTCATCCTAGTTTGTCCAGGACTGCGGGGCGGGCGGGGGGGTGACGGAGGTTATTGGAACATGGTTTCTTGGACTTTTCTCTGAAAGTCCTAGGCAGACAAGGATGGCTGGGCTGACTAGGTATACAAGTGATCAAAAGAAACAGAGGGGGGTGACTCAGTAGTAGGGTGGGAGGAATGCAGACATCAGAAACATATGAATGCAGCCATCTCTTAGGATCCAAAATGTGAAAACTGGCTTTATAGTGTGAAGATATACTGCTTCCAAATTCTGTGACAAGGTAGGACCTTACTCTGCCATAATAAACATTTTTTCTATGGTATCAATGAATTTTCTATGTCTTCCCCTCCTTAATCTGCCACAATTTAAATTGAGATTTCCAACTAAGTTCATAAAGTATGAAAATTGTGGATGTCAGGACCTAAGCCATAAGAGATAGATTCCAAGTGATCAATCATTCATAAACAATACGGTATGAAAGCATTAGGCTCTAATTAAGCACTACCAAATTACCTTTTGCCTAGAACTGCAAACGTTTTCATAATCTACAAAGAACCTATTCCAATTCTGGCAATTAGGTGCCTGGAATCTACTCAGGTAAACAGACTAATGAACAGGCTATTAAGAAAAGATAGCAAGAGGGCCGGATTAATGTATCTTGTATCACCACAGGACCTTGAACCTTGCCTAATATACCAAGCTCTTTACTTTGGACCTAAATTATCTGGATTTCATTTAAACATGATTGGGTGCTGTGCTTGGAAAGGAGAGTGTGCAGTGTTCAAAAGATTTTAAAAATTCAGAAATGGTATTCAGAATGGTATCAGCACCTGAGATTATTTCATAAGTTAGTTCATGGTCTTTCCCTAAGTAGTATCTACATTATGCAATGGAATGGATTTAAACATAATTGTCTCATATCCTAGGACGAGAATATCGGCTGATTAAATTGTTCATGATATTTGTACATTCTTTCTTTAACAATGTATCAAACGAGATCTCTACTTACCCAGAGAACCTAGAGTATTAGCCCAAAGTGCCCCTTGCCTAGTCACCATATTCAAAATCCTACCAGGGCAGAAAGAGAAAGAATCTGTATTTAGAATCATTATTTCTCTAATAACCTTTAAAAACAATAATAATAGCTATTTAACATTTCTAGACCCAAGGCTCAAAATTTTTTAAATTCTAAAATATATCTTAATATCTCAGATTTCAATAAGGATAGTTTTTACTCTACATAAGTGAAAATTAGGTTAAAACTTTCAAGACTTTGGGCAATAACTAAGGAAAACTCTTATTATTAAATGTATAATATAATGAATACACACTAAATATATGTAAGGCTTTGAATGACAGCCTGGAAAGTATTTTACAGAGGTTTACAGAAACTAATCCACGTAAAAAATGCCACTGTTAACTATGACAAGCTAGCTTCTAAAAGGTTCTTTTTGGAAGGGGAACATATGCTTAGAATGTTAAAGAGAATCAAAGTAAAGAATATCAAAGTACAGAATATAAAGTAGAATTAAAGAGAAGGAATCAGCCATCTAACTGGGATACACGGGGAAAGCACCCTGGGTCTGCTCCCAGACTAGAACCAAGCAGCCAAGGTGAATGCTCAGCACACGCTCAAGGAAGCACAGTCCTGCCTTGCAGCAGTGCCAGACACCACCAGAACAGTGATGGAGGCAACCGGATGAAGAGAAGACATTCCTCTCCCAGCAGTGTAACACCATTCCAGGAATGGTTCTGTCCAGATGGCTGACTACTGCTGGAAATTATGGAAATACAGTAACAAAGAGTGAGGGAACTCATTCAGTTTAATTATTAAACAACTCATTTAATTAATATTCTACAGAAACAAAAATTTGTATTGCTTCTGAAAGGTTGTTTTAAAAAATCAGTCAAGTTTACAAACAGAAGTACATTGTTTCTAATTATGTTACATATTTACTAACGTATTTTAAGTTCAGCCATTATTTTTTCATTTTTAACAAGCATTTTAATAACTCGTTTTAAGAAAGGAATTAAGTTGTCTTTTCTAGATCTACTTCCAAATTTGTATTTAATATGATATTGGGATTTTTGTCTCAAAACAAGATGGGAGAGGAGAAGGAGATGGGATAGAACTGGCCATGGTTGAGGATGGGTTATGGTCCATGTGTTCACTATGCTATGTCTTTTGTCTACTTTTATATATTCAAAATTCCCCATAATACAAAAAGTTAAAAATATTATTGAAGCAAAGGACAAGTAATAAAAATACTGAAGGATCTAGGCTGGCAAAGCATGGACAGAGATCCACACAGTTAACAGGAATATAAAAAACAGGGCTAGGCGCAGTGGCTCACATCTATAATCCCAGTACTCTGGAAGGCTGAGGCAGGAGGATTACCTGAGTTCAGGAGTTTGAGAACAGCCTGAGCAACACAGTGAGACCACGTCACTACAAAAAATTAAAAAATTAACTGGGTACAGTGGCACGTGCCTGTAGTCCCAGTCACTTGGGAGGCTGAGGTGGGAGGATCACTTGAGCCCAGGAGCTCAAGGCTACAGTGAGCTGTGACAGCGGCACTGCACGCCAGCCTGGGCAACACAGCAAGGCTGTGTCTCTCAAAAAACCCGACAACGTAACAGGCGTTCCAGTTTCCCATGGTCTAGTTCTAGCACATCTGGTGCCATCTGCTGGCTGAACAATATGAAAGGAAGATGGAGTTTAAAGCGTCCTAAAACAAAAACAGGAGCCATCGAATAATACATACTTATGAAGCATATATGAAGCATAAAAATGGGCAAGACTAAACATATTGTTTAAGGAATATCAGGAGGGACTGGCCATGTTTACTTCTTAAGAAGGGTGAAAACATACTTTCCAATCCTTTTAGCTGTACTTTCCCTTTTCTGCAACTTCAAGTTCTAACAGAAAACTGTTGTCTTATCCTTTTGGAATTAACTCTAATTCTAGAAGTTTTATTTAAAATTTATCTGGCTCATCATTTCGGAAACATAAAGTCAAGACAGTAAGAAGTTCAAGTCAAATGATGGCAGCTTGAGCCATCACTCTCATGAGCTGTTTATGTCTTCATTACCATTTCCTATGGATCTGCATGTCCCCAAACAATGCAAAATTCCCATCGGCAATTCAACAGTTTGAAAAGCATGTCACACAGGGTTGGAGAATGTGACAGGTGCAGCTGAGAAGCCAGGATGGCATAGCACTAGCTGACTGAGGGACACTGATTCAAAAAATCACTCCTTTTTAAAAGCTTAGAGTCAGTAATCCGATTCCTTAGTTGCTTTTGAGTAAGATTAAAAAACAAAGACAAAAAATCACCTAACTATGCTAACCATCTATAATATCAAGGGTGTACTCATCAAACCAACAAAACAGAGCTTAATATTCAAGTATCACTACATCAGATGGTTACATGAGACTTACTGTACATTTCTTGGTTTGGACCAGGCCATGTTCTGGGTTTCCTTCAATCCTAGCCGAAGACCATTCATTGCCCCAAACGCAGCCCCTGGTAAATCATAACAATTCACCCAGATAAGAGAGCTTTACATTAAAAAACAAACAAAGAAACTCAAAACTGCATAGCTACACTTCTGATTCTTTTTCATTTAATAGAAAAAGACAAATGTAAATATTAAAAAAAAACCCTGAAACCAACATTCTAACTGCTTTTGATTTTAAGCACCCTCAACTACTTGAGCTGAGCACACTTGAGAAAAAAGTATGTAACACTCACCTGTCATGCAACATCCTCCGATCGTAAAGAAGGCCAGCTCAAATCTGCCCCGGGTTTTATTAGCTCCAGTAGGTAAAATAAACTCATCTGTATCCTAAAAGGATAATAATGAAAACCAAGCTGAGGGTCCCTCAAGATACAAATCTTGTAAAGTCATCTTTTCTAACATTTCAAAGTAGTTTTTCACAGAGAGTAAACCTTAAATTAACTCAAACCTATACTTAAATAAAAATAAAACTTTCTGCAACAGTAATAACTAAATCAAAGTGAAATGAAATAGGAAACACAGTTCTCAGAAGGGAGTCTCATTAAAGACTGTTTCCTTCATAACTTAAATCTGATAGATTTGTGCAAAAGTTAAGTTTAGAAAGGACAGCTCTAGAGAAAGGAATACTGAAAGCTATTAGAAGAATAGAATAGACAAGCAGTCTGGAAGAAGCAAACAACTTTCATTCTGTAGCAGCTATTTATTGTGCATCTTTCCATGTATAAAGCCAAATGTTCAAAAAAATGAGCAAAAACTAATAAAGCACAACAGTTTGGATCAATTATGCAAGGGCAAATGACCCCCTTTAAGAATTCTTATCTGTTTAAGGAGTATACATTCCTTTGATACTCTTAGAAAGCTACAGACCCTCTTTCTAGTAATCGTATACACAAACTGTGGCATGAACCCCTGGAAGGTCACCCAAAATACTAAGATTGAGAAATGACACTCTTAAGAGCAAAATATGGTTACCAAATTTGAAGAGTCAATATACCTTTATGAAAAACACACTCGAAAAAACAAACAAACAAAATTCTATCACCTTGCTGGATTAAAAAAAAAAACACACAAACACACTCATTTTTGGCAAGCTTTCCATGCAAAGATGGTTAAAATAAGCCACCAATGGCTAGGTCACACTCTTGGCAAAAAGACACATAGTGTGTTACATTTAACATAGTAAAGACCACTGACAATTAACATTCTCCTACATCCTTGTGGCAAATACTGAACGTTGATTCCGAAAAGTGTATTCCTGATCAGAAAACTGTGGTTCTGCCTTGGTTTTTTCTTTCTGGCATGTGTACACATCCTCACCAAAAATTGCAAAAGTAAACAAGCACATCCACTCTCATCACATAAGAACGGTCTGCTGGGCAATAATAAAAACTGAACAGATCCCACGTCATAGTATAATTGTATAGAGTTTTATAAATTTTGGGTACTTCAACTTTTAAATTAATGACTTAGTATTAAACTGTGCTTTTTGTTTGAATTTTTTGAAATGCTAGATTCAATGTGGTAACTAATTATCCTTTATTCTCAGGCCATGGTTCCTGAGAAGAAAAAAAATATATACATCCTTCAATCCAGAAACAGATCACTAATTAAGAACAGAAAACTTGGCCAGGAGTGGTGCCTCCCACCTGTAATCTCAGCACTTTGGGAGGCCGAGGTGGGTGGACTGCCGGAGCTCAGGAGTTTGAGGTCAGCCTGGGCAACACAGTGAAACCCCGTCTACTAAAACACAAAAAATTAGCTGGGTGTGGCAGTATGCACCTGTAGTCCCACCTACTTGGGAGGCTGAGGGAGGAGAACTGCTTGAATTCGGGGAGCGGAGGCCGAGATCACGCCACTGCACTCCAGCCTGCGTGACAGAGCAAGACTCTATCTCCAAAAAATAAATAAATAAATAAAATAAATAAATAAACAAAAAACTAAAAAAAAAAAAAAAAGGCTGTGATGAACATTATCAAGCAAGCACAAGTGCATGTCACCAACTCATTCTCCTGCTAGCAGCAACTGAAAAATAAAAACATAACAAGGGTTGCAAGCAAATGTCCAACACACAAACAAGGTTGTTATCGAAGTATATTAATATGTTGAATGTAAGGAAGATTTACTAAAAAGCTCCTGTTAAACCTGTCCTGCTGACACTCCAGGACGTTAGTATTACTAAAATCCCCTAAGTACCAGAGTTTGTTAACACAGAAGATAAATCCAAGAATGGGTATCAATGTACTTGCTAGAGAAAAAGAAAAAAAAGAAAAAATATTTTTAATTTATAATTTTGTGTGTTTAACAATATGGATGTCAAAAATATTTAAATTTTCCTTATTTTTGTACCAGATGTTCACCTGGGCTAACAAAAAAATTTATTACTTGATACAATTAATGAGGATGTTAAGAGTAGCGATGATACAAAAGCATTAGTAAGAGAAACTACAGTACTGCATCAGATAAAAGTTGGTTAGGCACAGTGGCTCATGCTTGAATGCCAGCACTTTGGGAGGCCAAGGTGGGAGGACTGCTTGAGCCCAGGAGTTCAAGACCAGCCTGGACAACATAGTGAGACCCTGTGTCTATTATTAAACAAGAAAAAAAAAAAAGCTGTTGCCAAAGTCACGACATGGTGAGTTGAAGGTACTATTTTATTTAAGATGTCTCTAACCTTCAAAAGTGTAAACAAAAGTTTGACAAAATGTAATTTCTATTAAGGTATCTTTAAATGTAAGGTTTCCTTAATTATTTCCAATAACAGATGAGGTTTATAAAACACTTTTTTAAGTCTGAAGTCCCTCTAGAATTCCAATGGAAGATAAATGTTCATGATGAAGAATGAATTCACAAGTTTTTTGCGGGGATACTATTTTATGTCTAACCTTAATAAGCCCCACCTAGCAATGCAGGGCCACAATGATACTGAATTTGTAACTAGATCTAGAGTACAACCTCTAAGTGTAGATTCAACATTAAAGCAAAATACATGCAACTAGTTTTGAAATTTTGAGTAAATTGACAAAGGGGCACTTTTAAAGCAAAAAAATCAATGAACACCCAATGTTAAAATATAACATTTGAAAAACATTTCAAAAATAACGAAGCTTTAAACTGGCAAGGTCCAAATCATCAACTTGCTTCAATTTGAACACTTAACACAAACAAGAAATGCAGCCGCTGTCAGATGCCGTTAGTGATTCAACTCTGAAATAAAAGGTTCTAACCATAACTCTTAAATAAATAATAACCAAAAAAAAGCCAGGCATGGTGGCTCACGCCTGTAATTCCAGCACTTTGGGAGGCCAAGACAGGAGGATCACTTGAGGCCAGGAGTTAGAGACCAGCCTGGGCAAACAAGCCAGATCACATCATCTCTACAAAGAATGTGAAAAAAAGAATTAGCCAGGCGTGGTGGTGTTCACCTGCAGCCCTAGCTACCTGGGAGGATGAGGTGGAAGGACTGCTTGAGCCTAGGAGTTTGAGGTTACAGTAAGCTATGCTTGAGGTTACAGTGAGCTATGATGCTGCTGCTGCAACTCCAGCCTGGGAGACAGAGTGAGACTTTGTCTTTCAGGAAAAAGAGAGAGAAAACAGTGTTACTGATATGTATCTCATGCACCATATAATTCACTTACTGAGTGTACAATTCAGTGGTTTTTAGTATATTCAGAGTCATGCAACCAAGACTACAATCAATTTTAAAGCATCTTCATCACCCCCCGAAAAAATCACATACCCATTAGCAGTCACTGCCCATTTACTCCCAACCCTTGGCAGCTACTAATCTACTTTCTTGTCCATATATTTGCCTATTCTGGACATTCCATATAAATGGAACCACACAATATGTGGTCTCTTGTGACTGGCTTCTTTCATTTAGGAAGTTTTAAAGGTTCATTTATATTGTAGCATAATTTAATACTTCTTTATTGCCAAATAATATTCCATTGTATGGATATGCCACATTTTTTTATCCATTCATCAGTGGATAAACATTTGGTTTGTTTCCATTTTTTGATTATTAATAATGCTACTAGGAACACTCACTCACAACTTATGTGCGCAGAGGTTTTCAATTCTCTTGAGTATGGAGTATACGTAAGTGAAATTGTCAGTCATAAGGTAACTCTATTTTTAATACTTTAAGAAATTGCCAGACTTTTCCAAAAGCAGCTGTATCATTTTACGTTTCCACCAGCAATGTACAGAAATCCAATTTCCCTACATCCTCAACAATATGTATTATTTTCTTTTTTATTATACTGATCCCTATGGGTGTAAAGAGGTATCTCATTGTGGTTTTATTTCTCTAATTAATGTTACTGATCAGCTTTCATGTCACTATTAGACATCCCTACATCTTCATAAATGTCTACTCAAATCCTTTGCCCATTTTGTAATTATTTTTTACTAATGTTTTAAGAGTTAAAAAAATTAAATATTCTAGATATAAATTCCTTATCAGATACATAATACACAAATATTTTCTCTCAATCTGTGGATTGTCTTTTCCCAAATTTTTTTTTTTCCTTTTGAGACAAGGTCTCCATCTGTCACCAAGGCTGGAGTTAAGAGGCTTGATTACGCTCACTGAGACTTGACCTGCTGGACTCAAGTGATCCTCCCACCTTAGCCTCCCTAGTAGCTGGGACTACAGGTGCACACCACCACACCCCGCTAATTTTTGTGATTTTTTTGCAGAGATGGGATCTTCTTATGTTGCCCAGGCAGGTCTTAAACTCTTGGGCTCAAGTGATCCTCCCGCCACAGCCTCTCAAAAGTGTTGGGATTATAGGTGTGAGCCACTGCACCAGGCCTTTTTCCATTCTTTCTTTTTTTTTTTTTTTTTTGAGGCAGAGTCTTACTCTTTTGCCCAGGCTAAAGTGTGGTGGCGTGATCTCGGCTCATTGCAACCTCTGCCTCCCAGGTTCAAGTAATTCTCCTGCCTCAGCCTCCCAAGTAGCTGGGATTACAGGCACCCAGCACTGCGCCTGGTTAATTTTTGTATTTTTTAGTAGAGACGGGGTTTCACCATGTTGACCAGGCTGGTCTCGAACTCCTGACCTCAGGTGACCCACCCGCCTCGGCCTCCCAAAGTGCTGGCATTACAGGTGTGAGCCACTGCACTCGGCCTCCATTCTTGTTGGTATTGTCTGAATCACAAAATTTTAAAATTTTGATTAAATACAATCTGTCAACATTCTTTTTATCACTTGTGCTTTTGGTGTCACATCCAAGAAATCACTGTCAAATCCAAAGTCACAACTACTTGTGCCTATGATTTCTTCTAAGAGTTTGACAGCTTTAGTTTACATTTAAGTCTTTAATTCACTTGGTGGTAACATTTTGTATATGGTGCAGGGTTAGGGTTCAACTTCATTCTTATGCATATGGGTTCCAGTTGTCCTAACATCTCCCCTGACTTATCTTGACATCCTTGTTGAAAAGCAACGTCTTTCTTCTGGACTCTGTATTTCATTAATCTATGGATTTATTCTTATGTTACTATCATGATGTGGTTCTGTAGAAAGTTTTGAAATTGACAAGTTCAAGTCCTCCAATTTATTTTCTCAAAGTCATTGGTCATTCAATGTCCCCTGAATTTCCGTACGAAGTTTAGGATAAAAGCTTGTCAATTTCTGCAAAAAAAGCCAGCTGGGATTTTGACAGGCACTGCACTGAATCTGTTGGTTAATTTGGTGAGTACTGTCATGTTAATATTAAAATTTTCAGGACCATAGCATGTGTCTTTCCACTTAATTTCAATAATGTTTTATAGTTTTCAGAATATGTTTTGCACCTGGTCCATTTATTTCTAAGTATTCGCTTTTTAATGTTATTGGTAATGAACTGTTTTTTGTAATTTCACTTTTGTAGTGTTCACTGTGACTGTCAAGAAACATATTTATGTATATTGAACTTGTATTCTGCAACTTGCTGAACTCGATCATTAGTTTTAATAGATTTTTCTGATTTCCCTTGTGATTTTCTATAGATAAGATCATGTCATTGGTAAACAGATAGTTTAACTTCTTTTTCAACTTGAATGCCATTTCATGTTCTTGACTAACTGCCCTGGTCAGACAATGCTGAATATAAATGAGAGTAAACATACTTACTTTGTTCTTGATCTTAGGGAGAAGGTATTCAGTCTTTCACTATTAAATTATGTTAGCTTTGGGTATTCTCTAGATGCCATTTATAAGGCTGAAGCCCCTTCTGTGTCTAGTTTTATTTATTAATTTAGAGATAAGGTCTCACTCTGTTGCCCAGGCTGGAGTGTAGTGGCGTGATCTCAGCTCACTGCAAGTTCTGTCTCCAGAGTTCAAGCGATTCTCGTGCCTCAGTCTCTAAAGCAGCTGGGATTACAGGTAGGCACCACCACGCCTGGCTAATTTTTGTATTTTTAGTAGAAACAGGGTTTCGCTATGTTGGCCAGGCTGGTCTCAAACTCCTGGCCTCAAGTGATCCGCCCGCCTCACTTCCCAAAGTGCTGGGATTACAGGTGTGAATCACTGCGCCCAGCCTAGTTTGTTTTTATAATCACAAATGGGGGTGTTGGATGTTGTCAAATGATTTTTGTGAATCTACTGAGATGAGCATGTGGTCTATATTCTTTCCTTGATTGCTTTATTATAAATTGATATGGCACAATACATTAATTTTCAGGTGTTAAATCAACCTTGCTTTCCTAATATATCCAAGATATATTAGGAAATATATCTTGGATTTAAAAAGATACTCTTTGAAACTTTTGATGCTTAGTCAAAAGAACCCTGATATTGTAAACTGAGCTGTAAAACACACTTTGTCTGTAATCCCAGCACTTTGGGAGCCCGGCCAACATGGTGAAACCCCGCCTCTATTGAAAATATAAAAATTATCCAGGCACTGTGGTGGGCACCTGTAGTCCCAGCTACTCGGGTGGCTGAGGCAGGAGGATGGCCTTAATTTGGGAGGCTGAGGTTGCAGTGAGCAGAGATCACGCTACTGCACTCTAGCCTGGAGGACAAAAGCAAAACTCCATCTCAAAACAAATGAACAAACAACAATAACAAAAAAACCCCACACACTTTGTAATTAGGTACCCCAATACTTTATTGGGGGTGCTTTCAAAAATTAATTCTGCTCTGGTTTTAAAAAAATAAGCCTTTGAAGGTAGTTAACTGATTTCAGAGAGATGCAGGCCAAGCTCCTAGTGTTTGTGAGGAAAAAAGGGTAAATGGAGACCAGAAACTTACTGCCTCCAGAAGTGCATGTCATAGTTCAAGTCAGCATAGCACTTGGCGTTTTTTTTTTTTAAATGGTAAAATAATGCACCAAACTAGTAAAATCTTAATCTTACCTGCACGAGGTATCGCGGATCCACATTTAAATAAGGAGACAGAGGGTTCATACCAGTTACTAGAGAGAAAACAAAATGTCACATTGCAACAACATTCTTTAAGTTAATTCGGTTAGAATTAATCCAGCTCCTGATTGTTACATGTGTTTGCAATTTTTATAGGCTCACTGAAGGCGAAAATTTTTTCCCATTTTATCCTCCCTGTCAGTTTGGGGGCTGACTCAGGATATCCTCAGACCCTCAGTCCCAAACCAGGTTTTCCACTGGTGGCTCAGGCTTTTACACCAGGTAAGATATTCGCAGTGTCATAGATCAGATTACTGAACTTACAGGAAGTGTAGCCTAGGCCATTTATAGTTAATTTCTTTCAATTTACTACAAGAATGCTTGGTGACTATGTAAATTGCAAAGTAAGACTGAGAAAAGACTAATCAATTCCATGGGGAAAACAGTGGTTGGGTTGGGTTTTCTGACTGTGTACATGTTGCATGTAAGTATTTCAAGGCAGTTCCTTCACGTATTACTATTAACGACTGATTTACTGTGGCAAAGGTGAGAATCCTTGGGTCATTACCACAGGTATGTGGGTCTGTGCAAAAGAAAATACAAACTTTCAGAGGGCCAGACCTGAATTCACTAACACTGAAAACAGTAAAACCTATCAATCTTTGGATTCTTCTGTATCTCAGCAGTTAATTCACAAATATATGCATCACCTATGCCTCTGATCTTTTCATCAATTATAAGTCCTGTTTATTCTATTTTCATCACCTATTTTGAATTGTTACTTATCTCTATTGCTACCATCCTAGTCCAACCATCATATCTCACAGCAACAACTTCCTACCTAACTCCTTGCTTTCTCTTGCCCCTTCAACTCACAGTCTACATAGCAACTACAGTGATTTTTCTTAAGAAAATCCAAACTCCTTACCATAACCTACAAAACCCTACATTAGCTGTCATTCCCTACCTCTCTGATTTCACAATCGTCAGCTGATTCAACTCCCTTGTAACTATGAAGACAGAGTGGCCTAAGAGTTGTTCCTTAAACATACCAAATTTGTTTTGTTTCAGGACATTTGCACTAGCTAATTTCCTGGATACTTGCCTCCCAAGCATTTGTACTATATTTGGGTCACAGCTCAAATGTCAACTCCCTTAAGATGTTTTCCCTAACCCGTTCTAAAATGGCATCCTGCTTCCATCACAATCTCATGACTCTGCTTTATTCCCGTTTACAGCCCTTACCACTAACTGTAATGTTTTAATTTATGTTTGTTGGCTTACCTCAGTATTATGTAAGCTCTGTGAGTGCAAGAGTCTTTTCAAAACAAAACAAAACAAAAAAACCACTATAGTCCTGCCCCCAGAAAACTAGCTAGCACACTGTAAAAGTTTAGTAAATGGTGTTCATTCCCTGGTCCCTCAATTTACCTTCAAATCTTAATCAAATTAAGGTAACAATATTGTCACATTAAGGAAGCGTATGCCGTTTGTGCTCTGAAACTCAGAGATATTAAGATTAATATGAAACTGTGTCCTAAACAGGTAGAGTGGTAGCTCAGGCCTAGGAACCCCAGCACTTTGGGAGGCCGAGACAGGAGAATGGCTTGAGCTCCAGAGTCTGAGACCAGCCTGGGTAACACAGGGAGATCCCATCTCCATAATAAGTTAAAAAAAAAAAAAAAAAAATTAGCCAGGCGTGGCGGCACGTGTCTAGAGTCCCAGCTACTTCGGAGGCTTAAAGGGGAGGATTGTTTCAGCTCAGACGTGCGAGGCTTCAGTGAACTATAATCATGCCACAGCACCCCAACATGGGTGACAGAACGAGGTCCTGACTCTAAAAACAGAAAAAAACAACAGAACAGAACAGAACACCTTGTGTTGTAGATTCCGTTTTTTGACAAAGGTGACACCAGGGATATGAAAGGTCTTTTCTTTTATATTTTTTTGCGCTAGTCAGTCTGAACATATTTTGTTGTTGCTGTCCTTTAGTATAAAACACCTAGAAAAATATTACAAGGATTCTCTAAAAAGAAAGTACTTTCGTAAAGGCTTTATCCACGACCAACTGCCTATCTTTAGGTCCAAGTTCTATTTATCCAGTTGAATAACCACAGTTACAAAGTACCAAAGTTCTGGAATACATATTCGCAAGACTGAGGAGAGGCAAAGGCAAGGTATTTATGCCTCTGTATCCTTTATGTTGTTGCTTATTTCCTTTCCTATAATTCTTACGTGGCTTCTTTCTTCATGTCTATATATATCACCTTTAAAGTTCAGCTTACTTCCTAGCTCCTAGAGATGGTTTCCCAGCCTGTCCCAAGTCATACTTATTTCTCACTTATATGCAATACTACTGAATGTTCTGCCCTAATGGCTACTTGGGGGTTCAGAATACGTCGCTGTGTACTAAAAAGTTAACTACGGCTTGCTATTTGGAATATATTTACTCCCAAAGCTGGGCTCTACTCTTAATCAAGGGCCAATCACACGGCCCACCACACACAAAAGACACGAGGCTTGGTTATAAACCTAAGAAAACATGCATCATCTCGCGAGTCCAGGTCAATCACGGACAGCTTCCCCGGGAGATCCGTGGCCCTTTTTAAGGCCTTTCGATCTTGAAAGAGCAGCCATGCAGACACACTAACCCCACCACTGGTGCTGAAGCTTGTAAATGCCAGAAAGGAAAAAAAAACATAAAACATGGGACGCGCAACTTTAGTGAAGACGCAAGAACCAGTCAGAAATAATCGCAAGGTAGGCTCCATACTTACGCGGGACGCCAGCCAAATCCGCGTGCGAGTAACCTGCTCCGCCGGCTCCGAAAAAGCCGGCCAATCCCCCTGTGGTTTTGTTGCCGCTTCCCCCGCCTCCTTCCATGATATCTCAGCAAACCGAGTGGTTCCCGCCGCTGTCTCGAGTCCAGGTGGTCCGCTGGGCCGTTGCTCCTCAATAACAGCGGGTAACCCCCGCGTTGCTAGCGCCTCCTTCACACGCTGACCTTCCGGGCGCCGGTTCCCCCTAAGCGCCGCGCTTCCGCTTTGCGGCAGTGTGCGCCCCGGAAGCCGGAAGCGCCTGACGGCAGCTTTCCGGTGGTGGGAAAGGGAACGAATCCCGATTCAAAGCGGCGCATTCTGAGGCAGGTGGGGTGCCAGTGGAAGAGGGACTGCAGGAGACTGTTTACGGCCTGACTTGGGAGGCCGGCGGTCAGCAACTGCAGAAGCAGGAAGCAGCGGAGAGGGAATGGTGCGGGGAGGCGCGGAGAAGGAGGTGCAGTCTATCCCTCTCACGGTTAGTGAATGAGGCTCTCCGCCCGGGCCGGCCCGGGGACAGTGCGCTGCGGGTCCCAGCATGAATGCGGGCCCCGGCTGTGAACCCTGCACCAAGCGACCCCGCTGGGGCGCCGCTCCAACTTCGCCGGCTGCTTCGGACGCCCGGAGCTTTCCCAGCAGGCAGAGGCGCGTCCTCGACCCCAAGGACGCTCACGTGCAGTTCAGGGTCCCACCGTCCTCGCCAGCCTGCGTCCCAGGGCGGGCGGGACAGCACAGAGGCAGCGCCACCTCGCTTGGTACGTGGGAAAATAAAAATATTTGTTCTTCGCCTCGGCCGGAACCTTCTGGTCTCAGTCTGAGGACCCAGGGGCTCCAGTCACTCCTTTCTGGTCTTGTGTGCATTATCATGCTGAGATCCACTTGCTGAGCTACCAAAGCCACTAGTGGGTGAATGGGGCCGCATTTTTCCCAGTGCTATTGATGTGAGAAACTGATGAGCAGTCACTCACAGGGCGGAAAATGGCAGGAGACTCCACCACCTGTTTGCTTCTTCAGGTTTGATTGAGAAATTGCCTTAGTCGTCAAGGAGATGTAGTTGTGTATGTGAAACAGTAGGGCCCTTTGGCCTCTAGATAGGAAGAAAACAACTTCACTTGTTCAGATTCTGGGTCCCAGGGTGCAGAGCTATTAGTCTAAGCTGGCATTGTACCCGTCCCTGGCATGCAGTGTTGAACAAGAGAAGCTTGGCCTCTGCCTTCATACCTTAAAATCTATCTGGAGAGATAGACAATAGCAAAAGTTAGTATAATAAAATGTAATGGATGTTCTGATACATGAAGGACAGATTGTTCTACCTAACCTAATTTATGGGATCGAAAATAGTCCTCCAGAAGATGAGATGCTTATTCTGAGGACTTTAGAATGAGTAGAAGTTAGATGAGGAGGAAGTAAGTGAGTGTTTCAGGAGTGCAATTGAGGCCGGGCGCGGTGGTTTACGCCTGTAATCCCTGCACTTTGGGAGACCGTGGTTGGTGGATCACCTGAGGTCAGGAGCTCAAGACCAGCCTTACCAGTGTGGTGAAACCCCGTCTCTACTAAAAATCAAAAAAAATTAGCCGAGCGTGGTGGCGGGCAGCTGTAATCCCAGCTACTCGGGAGGCTGAGGCAGGTGAGGCAGGAGAATCGCTGGAACCCGGGAGGCGGAGGTTGCAGTGAGCCAAGAGGGCACCATTGCACTCCAGCCTGGGCAACAAGAGCGAAACTCCGCCTCAGAAAAACAAAAACAAAACAAAACAAAAACAGAAGTGTAATTGATACATAGAGTGAACGCAGGAGAGTGAGAGATGAGGCTGCAGGGTGGTACAAAAAAGTCAAATCAAATTGGATATGTAGACATTGCTAAGGATTTTGAGCTTTAAGGGCATTGAGAAGCTATTCAAGGGTTTTTAGGAGGGGAGTGATTTGATTAGACTTATTTGTTGAAAAGTCTGTGTGGCTGGTGTGTGGACAATAAAGAATGGATTGGAAAGGAACTCAAGTGGAGCCTCAAGACTCAGTTAAGGAGCTAATCTAGGTTGGAAATAATTGTAACTTAGACCTGGATGCTGGCAATAGGGAAGGGGATGGATTCATGAAAGAATAGGATGCTTGAGAAGAAATATTTCTGTGCTGGAAAAGTAGATTGGGGAGTTCTTGACATAAACATTATAATGGATGCCATGAGCATAGATAACATATAAACATGTAGAGAAAGGAAAGGTTGACCTAGGGCAGAAGCCTTAGGAACACCAAAGTTCAAGGGTGGACTGAAGAGAAGCGGCTGCAGAGGTGGAAGGAAAGCCTGGCTTGTGTTGTGTCAGGCAAAGGAGAGCATTTCAAAAAGGATGCATTGGTTAACAGTGTAAGAGGCTGTGCAGAGCTTGGGCAGTTCTCTGATGAAGAGTGTACACTTAGATGTCTTCATACTTAGGGGCAGTACCAAGCCGACTTTCACTGAGCCTTGAAGGATGAGGAAGATTTGCTGTATAAATCAGGAGGAGAAAGAATTATACACGCAGAGGGAATAAGACATGCAAAAGTTGGTAAGACTGGAGCATAAGATGATAGAGGAGTGTCAGATGAGGTTGAGTGGCAGGCAGGAGCTTATGAAGAAACTCAAGTTGCATTTTAAGGAATTTCAACCTTATTCTGTGGTTAATGGAGAAACCACTAAAAAACTTTTAAGCTTGGGAATACCATTTGGTTAATATTTTAGAAAATATGGCTTAAACAGTGGCTTTTGGACTTTTCTAACTGCAACCCACAGCATAAATTTTATCTGGTACACAGAGTTAGAAATATATGTAACCTGGCAAATAAGACATATTTATAACTGAAATAAATGCTCCATGAAATAATACTTAACTTTACTATGTGTGATGCATTCGTGTATTGTCTGTGTTATTTCATTGAAAATTGACTGGTCATTTGTAGTTTGTAGAACACTGGATAGTCAAGATTATAGACAGGGAGACTAGTTGCAAGAAACATGGCAGTTGTCTAATAAGTGATGTGTTTAAAGGGTATACGAAAGGGATGGATTTAAAATTTAGGATGTAGATTTCAGAGAACTTGGTATAGGGGAGAGGGAACTGAAGGTGAACTTCAGGTGTGTGTTCAGGTGTACTTCAGCCCCTGTGACTGGATAATTTGTGGTTTCATTAACCTTATTTTCATGTAAAGAAGGAGGAGTTAGTTGCAATAGGGGTGAGGACAGTCAGTCCTCACTGGTTGGATCTTTAGATTTCTGCAGAAGAGGTACCAAATGAATACTTGGGGCTGTATTTCACGTGTTTAAATGTTTTCTATATACCTGGGACAGGACACCAGTTAACAATGTTCAAAGACTATATTTGTATCAAAAGCCCATTGTTTGAATTTTTGGGATTCCTTTAGGAACTTGGTATTTAAATTTTTATACATAATTATCTTAGGACAAGTAGGTGGGGTACAGAAATGGATATTTACTCAGTATCTTTAAATTTTACATTATTTATCCTCCTGGGCACATTTCTTATATTGACTGAAATCGCAAATTTTGCTGGGCATGGTGACATGCACCTGTAGTCCCAGCTACTTGGGAGGCTAAGGCAAGAGGATCACTTGAGCCCAGGAATTCCAGTCCAGCTTAAGCAGCATAGCGAGACCCCACTTCTGAAAAAAGAAAAAAAAAAAAAAAATCTGCAAACCTGCATATTGGCAGAACTCAGGATGTTATTCACATTGTGATGATAAAGGGTTTATCCAGATGTGTTGCTATGGACTTTTTGTGAAAGTGGAGCGTGCCTTTGAAATGTAGGTGAATGTTATTGCATTTTGTGCCTTTTGGCTGTATCTATAGCTGTTAATTGAATGACCTGCTGATTAAAATACACTGGTTACTGAGTAATGTTACTGATGAGGTAAATGTAAATGGTGTGAAGTCAAAGTTGAAGAATTACTGATCTCAGTGGGGAAAAAAAAGACTGGGTGGAAATGTCGGGCGATAACATATTTGTTGAGTGTTTTGTGAGACTGAACACAATATTTTCTCTAATTTTTGCATTTTAATTGATCAACATAACCCTTAGAAGTAGGTGGTGTTAGCTTCATTTTCTGGGTGAGTAAATAAAGGCTTAACAAAGTGAAGCAACTTGACCAAGATGGTACTAGTAAGTGACTGAACAAAGGTCTCAATCCAAGATGATCTGACTCTAGATCTTGTATCTTCGTCACTTCTTATTGCCACTCTTTTTGCCTTGTTGTGACTATTTCTAGTTAAAATTCACAGGAAACCTGGAAAGCATCATTTTATGCTTCAGGAGTAAGAGGGATAAAGCTCTGACACAGTCCTGTGGTGTGTTGGGAAGGAAACCTTAGGAAGCCAGAAGTGGTGATATTGCAAAGAGCAGTAAGCAGTCTTTTCTCTGAGGCCCTAAGAAGGACTGATCAATGTTTTATTAGCAGAAGATACTGGTTCCTCACCTCTTGCTTTTCCTCCTTCATCCCTTCCTCAGGCTTCAGGAAACCTGAAACTGGAGAGAAAACACATCCTCAGGGTCAGGGCTACAGGAGAGAGCTCTCTTCCTCACCATCACTGGAACACTCCTGGTTTTTCATGAAATGATGTGTGCAGTCTTTAGGTTCTGTAGACTTATCACTGGAGTATGTGCTTCTTGTGTGTTTTAGGAACCTAGTCATTGCATCTTAACATTAATCCTTATATTTATGGAAAAAAAATGTTTTAACTTCTAAACCAACTCAAAAAATGAATGTTTTGGCATATTACTGGTTTGTAATTTGAGGATTTTTTTTTTTTTTTTTTAAAGATGGAGTCTCACACTGTCGCCGAGGCTGGAGTGCAGTGGCACGATCTCAGCTCACTGCAAGCTCCGCCTCCCGGGTTCACACCATTCTCCTGCCTCAGCCTCCCGAGTAGCTGGGACTACTGGCGCCCGCCACAACGCCTGGCTAATTTTTTGTATTTTTAGTAGAGACGGGGTTTCACCGTGTTAGCCAGGATGGTCTCGATCTCCTGACCTCGTGATCAGCCCATCTTGGCTTCCCAAAGTGTTGGGATTACAGGCGTGAGCCACCGTGCCCGGCCCAATTTGAGGATTTTCTAAACTATATTTGCTGTATTTGATATAAAGAAAATAAATAGAGAATACAGAACTATAGAAAAAGTTTCAGAATCAGATGGTTTATCCTCTTACTCCCTCTGACTGAGGCTCATTTTTTCTCTGAAGCCTGATCTGCTGCAGAAATGC